GCAGTGGTTATCATGAGGGATTCTTATTATTGTTATTATTAATCTTTTTGGCCCCATATTTCTGGAATACAAGGTATATATGTATATGCCTAAACTGTTGTTGTTGTAACTAATTACACGGTTAACTAATCTTTTTGAAGTTTCATGGACATAGCACTTTAATTTTTCTTTTTTCATGTTTTATTTAATAGGAAAAGTCTTTAAAAAGACCAGCTACTCAAGATGAGGTATTTGAGCATACACATATGAAGAAGCTAAAGGATGGAACAAAGACAACTTGGATCGAGCCACGGGCCGAGACAACCTATGTAAGATTTCAAGTTACTTTTTAATACTTTTCATTAATTAAATTTATTCATATAATAGTTGTAACTTCTTTGCAGAATACTTTCAAACAATCCTTGGAGGAGTTCATTCAAAGCCAACCAACTGATGATCAAGGAAAGCCAATCCAACCATCCCAGGAGAATCATATGGACTTGTGGATTAAGGCGGCTGGTGGCGTACATAAGGGAAGAGTTTACGGCCTTGGATCAGAGTTTAGTTCTAGTCGTCGGTCTTTTGGATCTGGTGGCTCTTCTTCTCAAGGTCCTTGATTAATCAGGATGAGTTTGAGCTATTGAATAAAAGAATAGCAGAGATCACTGAGTTGTATGCACAGGAAAGGGCTGCGCGGGAGGAGGAAAAGCGAAGGGAGGAAGAAGATAGGAGGAGGGAGGAAGAGGAGAGGCAGAGGGATGAAGAAATGAGGCGAAAGGATGCTGCATTTACCCGTGTCACTGGTGACGTTGAAAGCCTCAAGGCCCAGCTAAACTACCTCTTAGCATCTGGTGGATTTCCTGTGCCACGTTCTCCATCACGCTCTAACAAGACTAAGGAATAGTTTCTTTTATTAATATGATTTTGGGTAGGACTATGACGTTGGATGTTATGTATCAATTGGATAAGATTGAATTCTTATTTGAATGTTTAGTTGCATTATCGGTTTCCAGTATTTTTAGTTTTGGTTGGTTGTTAATTAACGAAATGGATTGGAAGATGCTGATTTTTGTGTGTGAATATTTAATTGTATTTAGGTTGTTGGTGGTTGTATTTTTTTGTTTGGCAGGTGGTGCAGTATATTTACAGCATTGTGCACAAAAATAATTTTCAGATTTCCCACGGAATTGCCACTGATTCCGTGGGAAGGTTCATCACTTTAGTTGCAGAACTTGCATATTTCCCACTGATATCGGTGGGAAAGTTCATACAACTTGCATATTTCCCACGGTTATCAGTGGGAAAGTTCATATTTTATTTCCAGCTCCCCGTGCATTTTTCCCATCACTTCCCCGGCTAATGTATTAAAATTAATAAAAATTACTAATAATAGTTCCCACTGATTGTTGGTGGGAAATTTTTGTTATTTTTCCAATTAAAGTTTCTCTGGGAAAACCGTGGGAAATTTCCCACCGCTTCTCTGGGAAGACATTTCCCACCAGGCATTTTCCTGGTGACTCGTTTCGGTGGGAATGCGGGGTGAAAACTCGATTTTCCCACCAGTTTCCCACTGATTTCGCCGTGGGAAATCCATGTGTTTCTAGTAGTGATTCTGGTACATTCCCGGAGTCGGGAAGACCATGAGCAGCACCTGAGGACAGTGCTCTAGACATTGAGGGAGAAGAAACTATATGCTAAGTTCTCGAAATGTGAGTTTTGGTTGGATTCCGTGGCATTCTAGGGCCACGTGGTTTCGAGTGAGGGTATTCAGGTGTATCCGAAGAAAGTGGAGGCAGTGCAGAGTTGGCCCAGACCATTCCAGCTACAGAGATCCGCAGTTTTCTTGGCTTGGCGGGTTATTACCATCGATTTGTTCAGGTATTTTCATCTATTGCAACACCTATGACCAGGCTGACCTATAAGGGTGCTCCGTTCCAGTGGACGGAAGAGTGTGAGGGGAGCTTTCAGAAGCTCAAGACAGCTTTGACTACAGCCCCAGTTTTGATATTGCCTATCGGTTCGGGACTTATACTGTCTATTGTGATGCCTCGAGGGTTGGCCTTAAAGCGGTATTGATGCAGGACGGTAGGGTGATTGCCTACGCGTCTAGACAGTTGAAGGTACATGAGAAGAATTATCCTGTCCATGATCTCGAGTTAACTGCTATTGTTCACGCCTTGAAGATCTGGCGTCATTATTTGTACGGTGTGCCTTGTGAGATTTATACTGATCACTAGAGTTTGCAGCATCTGTTCAAGCAGAAGGACCGTAATTTGAGTTAGAGAGATGGCTAGAGCTGTTGAAGGACTATGATATCACTATTTTGTATCACCCGGGCAAGGCTAATGTGGTGGCCGATGCTTTGAGCCGCCGGGTAGAGAGTTTGGGGAGTTTGGCTTATTTACCAGCAACAGAGAGGCCCATGGCGATGGATGATCAGGCCTTAGCCAGCCAGTTTGTGATATTGGATCTTTCGGAGCCCAGACGGGTTCTAGCTTGCGTGGTCTCTCGGTCTTCCTTGTTTGATTGTATCAGGGAGCGTCAGTTTAACGACCCTCATTTGCTTGTCCTTAAGGACAACGTTTTGCATGGCGATGCCAGAGATGTGACTATTGGTGATGACGGGGTATTGAGGATGCAGGGTCGAGTTTGTGTACCCAATGTTGATGGGCTTCGGGAGTTGATTCTAGATGAGGCCCATAGTTCGCGGTATTCCATTCATCCGGGTGCCGCGAAGATGTACCAGGATTTGAGACAGCACTATTGGTGGAGACGGATGAAGAAAGATATAGTTGGGTTTGTAGCTCAGTGCCTTAATTGTCAGCAGGTTAAGTATGAGCACCAGAGACCTGGTGGATTGCTTCAGCAGATAGAGATTTCGGAGTGGAAGTGGGAGCGGATCACCATGGACTTCGTAACTGGGCTCCCACAGACTTTGAGGAAGTTCAATGACATTTGGGTTATTGTGGATCGGCTGACCAAGTCCGTGCATTTCATTCCTGTGTGTACCACCTATTCTTCGGAGCAGTTGGCAGAGATTTATATCCGAGAGATTGTTCGTCTGCATGGTATTCCAATTTCCATCATTTCAGATAGAGGTACTCAGTTCACATCACGGTTCTGGAGGGCCGTACAGCATGAGTTGGGTACTCGGGTGGAGTTGAGTACAACATTTCACCCTCAGACAGACGGACAGTCCGAGCACACTATTCAGATTCTTGAGGATATGCTCCGTGCGTGTGTGATCGATTTTGGAGGGTCTTGGGATTAGTTCTTGCTATTGGCAGAGTTTTCCTACAACAGTTATCAGTCCAACATTCAGATGGCACCGTATGAGGCTTTGTATGGTAGGCGGTGTAGATCCCCGGTGGGTTGGTTTGAGCCGGGTGAGCTAGATTATTGGGCACAGACTTGGTTCAGGATGCTTTGGAGAAAGTCAAGGTAATTTAGAATAGACTCCGCACAGCCCAGTCCAGACAGAAGAGTTATGCGGACCGGAAGGTTCGTGATGTTTCCTACATGGTTGGAAAGCGGGTCCTGCTTCGGGTTTCACTTATGAAGGGCGTTATGAGGTTTGGGAAGAAAGGGAAGTTGAGTCCGAGGTTTATTGGCCCTTTTGAGATATTGAGGCGTGTTGGGGAGGTTGCTTATGAGCTTGACTTACCTCCCAGCTTGGCAGGAGTTCATCCGATATTTCATGTTTCGATGCTCCGTAGATAGCACGGTGATCCGTCGCACGTGTTGGATTTCAGTTCAGTCCAGTTGGACAAGGATCTATCATATGTTGAGAAGCTAGTGGCGATATTGGACAGGGAGATTCGAAAGTTGAGGTCAAAGAACATTGCATCTGTGAAGGTTCAGTGGCGGGGTCAGCCGGTCGAGGAGGCGACTTGGGAGACCGAGCAGGATATGCGCAGCCGTTACTCTCATTTGTTCACTGCTTCAGGTATGTCTCTATGCTCGTTCGAGGACGAACGAATGTTTAAGTGTGGGAGGATGTAACGACCCGACCGGTCGTTTTAAGAGTTAACGCCCCGATCCCCTATTAACTGCATTCCCCTTTTTTGTTTCTGCTATTGTGAGTTGCCGGGAGGATTTATTTGGAGTTTCGGAGTGTTTTGGGACACTTAGTCCCTAAAAGAGAGCTTAAGCTTTAGAATTTGGACCGTAGTCGGAGCAATGTGAAGACGGCCTCGGAATGGAATTCCGTCAGTTCCGTTAGCTCCGTTGGGTGATTTCGGGTTGAGGAGCGTGTTTGGATTTTTGTTTGGAGGTTCGTAGCTTATTTAGGCTTGAAATGCCGAAAGTTGAATTTTTAAAGTTTCCGGTTCGATAGTGAGATTTTGATATCGGGGTCGGAGTGGAATTTCGGAAGTTGGAGTAGCTCCGTAGTGTTGAATGTGACGTGTGTGCAAAATTTCAGGTCATTCGCACGAGGTTTAATAGACTTTGTGATCGAAAGCGTAATTTGAGAGTTTTTGGAGTTCTTAGGCTTGAATCAGATGTTAAATTGGTGTTTTGATGTTGTTTTGAGCGTTCCGAAGATTGGAACAAGTTTGAATGATGTTTTAGGATTGGTTGGCATGTTGGTTGAGGTCCCGGGGGCCTCGGGTATGTTTCGGATGCTCAACGGGTCATTTTTGGAACTTAGAGAATTGCAAAAAAAGTTGTAGTAGTCAGTTCTGGTTTCCTTCTTCTCGTTCACTAGTGGGGCCACGCGTTCACGAAGAGGAGCTGGGGCTGGTGAAGGGTTAATGCTTTGCGTTCACGAAGGTATTCCCGCGTTCGCGGGGCTGTGGGATCTTATACCTATGCGTTCGCGAAGATGTTTCCGCGTTCGCGTAGGAGGAAGGAAGTTGGTCATCGCGTTCGCGACTTGGGCATCGCGTTCGTGAAAGAGGAAGTTGGCCAGTAGGATTTTTGTGCATCGCATTCGCGATAGTAGTCTCGCGTTCGCGAAGAAGAACGTGTCTGGGCAGAATATAAAATTTCAAAGTCGAGGGTTTAGCCATTTTTGTGAAAACTAGAGCTTTGGAGCTCGGATTTGAGCAAGATTTTGAGGAATTTTCAGAGATATCGATTGGGTAATGATTCATATCTCCCTTTTGCTTATAACCCATTAATCTAAACATGAATTCATCATTTAATTTTGGAATTTGGGATGAAAATTGGGGGAAAGTTCTTAGACCTAGATTTCGAGTTTTGAATGGGAATTTGATATTGGATTTGGATAATTTTGGTATGGTTAGACTCGTGAGAGTATGAGGATTTTGAAAATGTAAATCTTACCCGATCCCGAGACGTGGGCTCGGAGGGCGTTTTGGTCATTTTACCTAATTTTGCGTATTAGCTTAGAATTTATTTGTAGAATCAGTTACTTGAAGTGTTATTTATATTATGCAATTGAGTTGAATAGATTTGGGTCATTTGGAGTCGAGTACTCATGGCAAGAACAGGGTTTCGGGTTGATTTTGAGCCGGTTCGAGGTAAGTGGCTTGTCTAACCTTGTGTGGGGGAAACTCCCCTTAGGATTTGGTTGGTTGATAATTGAAATACCCTGTACATGAGGTGACGAGTGTGTACTTGTGCTAATTGTTGAAAATCCATTTTACTTAAGTAACTATAAATGTGATTTCCTGTTTCCTGTTCATACCGTGTGTAATTTAAGCCTGCTATTAGCTTAGGGAAGCATGTTTAGTTGACTTAATTGCCTTACTTGCTCAAATTGCCTTATTTGGATTATGTGCAGCCTGCTAGGCTAGAAATACCTATTTTATTTTTGTATGGAAATTCAAACCGAATTGAGTATTCTTTTGTGTTACTGCTGTGTGTTTACTTTGGGACTACGGAATTGAATTCGGGAGATCCCCCTGCACTTTTATATTGGAACTATGGGATTGCACCCGGTAGATCCCCCAGTATTGAGTATTTATATTTTGGATAACGGATGTGGTATTCCGGTAGAACCTCGCGCATTATGAGTTGGACTACGGGACTGCACCCGGGAGATCCACTGGATATTTATATTTGGGGAATACAGGACGGTGTCCTGGTAGATCCCCTGGTTGTTATCTCTACGTTGAGCTGTATTTATTTCTGTTA